CACTCACACAATCCATGGCCAAAACTTAAAGAACAAGTTCTAGAAAGATTTAACATGTTCTAATCATCATACATGCTTGAATATGAATCAACTACTTCACAAATATCAAGATATATCATCAATTTCATGATCCCTTATATGAACACAAACCCTTAAATTTGGGATCTTTGAACACCAACAAGATTACCATGCAATATAGGTACCAAAAGATAGAGTTTTTTGCATATAACAATTTTCTATTTACAACTTACTCAAAATCCTAAGTAAATTACTTGAAAATTGAGTTGAAGCTTTCTCTTACCTTAGACCCACGACAAGCTTGGATGAGGAAGAAGCTGAAAATGCTCCACCATTATTGATAGTCTAATATTAAATATTCAATCACATGGCATAATATCACACAATGGCATTTTTTATTCAAATCAATAGGAAATTCCATTTTTTCCATTAATGAATCTCCATATTCACCATAAAACCTATACTCCTCATCCTTATCATCTTTCAAAGTCAAAGATGATTTTTTTTACTTTGATTTACGAAAATTCCCATGATTTTTCAAAATTTGTGTTTTAGTCACTATATTCCACTGTTTTGGTTAAATCTGAAAAATTGCACATTTTCAAACCAATTTTCTCTGATCCAAAATATTACAATAATATTTCCAACCATTTTATAACATCCTTCAATTTTTTGTAAAATTCCAATTCAATCTGAAATTACCGATTTCTTTCCGGCTTTAACCCTTTCTAATTTTTCTTTACTAAAATTCCAAATCCAAAATATGATTTCCATAAAAACCCACTCTCAAGAGTGAACTATCTATTTATGGAATAAAATTCTTTTTAGGAACTTTATTACTTAATTCCCTAAAATTTCTTCCAAATCTTTACTTTGACCATCAAACTTTCAAAAGTTACATTTTGGTCATTAACCAAAATTTGTGGGTATTACACTAGGGTTATTTTATTACATTATGCCAAAAAAGAATGATTTGTTTGTGTTAATTTGTTTTGAGCCAAGTTTCTGAATCATTTCTGTTCAATGAAAAGAACAAGTAGGTAAAGCTCTTGTCATGCAAATTTTGTCCATTGAAGCTGCTAAACTTGTTTACCACCTATAAATAATGGACTTGTTTATGACTTTAGGGAGTTGAAGGCATACATCAATATGTAGATGTTTGCCCAAAATATGTCATTTTTAGTACCAAATGGTAGGAGAACTTACTCTTTTCCAAACTTTTTGTGCTATTATGGAAAATAAGTTATGGACATGAAACTAAAAAAGGAAACAAGAAATGAAGCTAAAACTATTTCTATGGAGATTACCGACTTCTATGGACGGTGCCTCGAAGAAGCATGAAAGGCCTTAAATCTCTGTAAGCATTAAGCGATCTTAGTAGTTTAAGTGATGTTCTCTTTAAAGTTTTCGAATTCGAATAATAACATCGATAAAATATATACATTATTAATAACTATGAAAAATTATAAATAAAAATTATCTTACAATCAATGACTATTTAAAAAAATATCAATACCAGTGGTTATCAAATTATTTCTCAAATTTATAAAATGTTGATATAACAATACATATATAGAAAAAGTTCGAATGAATTTGTCTATTATTAGAAAAACCACTATTCAAAAAATTATTAGAAAACGTTAAAAAAATCTCTCATTTTTTTAATGTCAGCTGTTCATTTTCTTCATCTTTGTTTGTTAGACGGTGACAAAAATCTTAATGTTAGTCGTCAATAATTGATATTCATTGGTTTTTCCTTTTCTTTATTATATTGCATCTTTGATTTCCAACTATTCGTTTAATTTTCGCTAGATTCAATTTGACGTTGTTTTATCAGTCAAGATGTTGCTTATTTGTTTTCCTAATAATCTTTCTTATTTTACACCATTGGATTAAATTTAGATATGAGATTTGCATTCGGAAATAATTTTCTCACGACATTAAACTCTGATTTACAATTGTCGGTGATATTTGAGTAATTAGACTTTCTATTATAGTTTATCTGCTGATGCAATCAAATCTATCCCTATTTCTCTTTTGTTCGAGTTTTTGAATATATTTTCAATATTTTTTGTATAATCTTAAATGACTAGTTTCTTGTATCAATAATTATAGAAAAATATTTTAATTATTTGTTTAGTTTATGTTAATGGTTGTAAACCTTCACTATAATTTTGGATATTTCTTCTAATAAAAATAACAACTTCTATTTGCCAAAAAAATAACACATACACATATACATATACATTTATATATTCTTCACATGTTCTTGTTAATCAAAATAAAAAGTTCGAATAGTAACGATAAACGTGTCACGTATAACATCTTAAGTGGTTGACAATATTTTTTTAATGGCCATGACAAACCATACACTTAAAATGGTAACATAAAAATTATTAGACACCTACATTGACAAAAACAAGTTTAGACGCCTAAATGAAAAAAATGTATAATTTAAACATTTTTTTATAATAATCCTTAAATACATAAAACTCAAAATTTTTATGTATCCATCTTCAAAACATAATACTATACAACTATTTAAAATTTAATTTTTAAAAGACTTCATATTTCTATATTTAAATTATCTTTACATGAAAAAATAACTATTAGATAATAAAAATAAGGGTAAAGTATAATAAAGGTCACTGAAATTTTCTAAAGCTTTAATTTAGGTCTCCCAACTTTTAAAACCTGCAATACAGTCTCCTAACATTTAGTCTGTTTGCAATATGATTCCCCCAATAATTAGTCTATTTGCAATATGGTCACCGACCGTTTGACGCCATCAAACTGCCGTTAGTACGCTTGCAATATGGTTACTGAACTTTTCAGGCGCTTGCATTTAAGTCTCCCAACTTTTAAAACTTGCAACACAATCCTAAATTTCATTCTAAACCTCAAATTCCTTTTTGATATCGAATTTCCTTTTTCGTTTCCCTCTTCTCATTTCTAGCGTAACTTTTCAGTCGGGGATGCATGAAAAATTGTAATCTAACTTTGAATTATGTGGAGGTGTTGATTGAATAATGGTACATTGAGAGAAGACCCGCCCATGAACTATCGGGACCATCAACGATTCAAGGTGTAATGTTATATGTATGTCATCTCAGGTGAAGCATAGATGTTCGATGAAATGCTTGTGAGAAAAAAGTGGGGTTAGAAATGCAGAGTTGACAAATACTACTAAGATGAACTAAATATCGTTATTAAAAATCACCCACAAAACTGGAATTATTTTGTATAAATGACATATAATAATTTATTTGTTTAATCCGTGTACTTAAAGATTTTTCAACAGATGATCAAATATAATGAAATCCCAAACAACACATTCACCTCTCAGTCTCTTTCACAACTTGAAAGACATCATGATAGGGGTCAAGTAGATGCTCCAAATATACTACCCTATCATGATTATTTTTCGAGTTATGTGCATGCAAAATTGTCTTCTAAAGCTATAATTCAATAAAATTCAACTGTAAAATTTCCAAAACATGTAAAAAAATTTAATTCGTTCACGATATATCAGTCCCATAATCAACATAAACTTATTAAAAAAAATACGAACTCACATGACGTCAAAATCACAGGTCAGATCAATACAATTCCTAGTAAACTAATACCAGCAGTTTCTCGGATTAAGCCTGACGATTTCACTATGTCGATACTCAACCAATTCCCTGATTTAAAGAAAAACAAAACAAGAAGATCAAAAAATTTAGCAGAGTACCCTATTTCACTTCTATTATGATGGACTGAATATTTTCATAAGGAGTACTAAAAGTTTTGATTAAGAAGAAAAAAAGAAAATTAGATGGTTTTGGTTCAAAACTAACATTGAATATACATATCATTGACATGCAGTTCCAGAAACATAAAAATTTCAATAAAAAACACACAATGCGAGCTGAAAATGGAAAAGTGCAAAAGAGAAAAAACTTACTTCCGAATAGCCCAAAAGAGAAAATAAATACATTCTTGCAAGTGAGGGGAGAGACTAAGAAATAAACGCAATCGATGTTACGTTCTAGCAATTTTTCCTCCATTTTTTCTTTGTAAATAAAAAGCTAAAAGACAGAGCACTGCTTGGGTTTACAATTTTACATGGCGAAAAATTGAAGAACAAAAATCAAACGAGAGGTGAATGCGCTGTTTGAGATTTCATTATATTTGATAATCTTTTAGAAAATCTTTAAACACAATGATTAAACAAAGAATTATTATATGTCATTTATACAAAATAATTCCAGCTTTGTTAGTGACTTTCAACAATGATATTTAGTTCATCCTAGTAGTATTTGTCAATTCTGCATTTCTAACCCCATTTTTTTCTCACAAGCATTTCATCGAACATCTATGCTTCACCTGAGATGATATGTATCTAACATTACACCTTGAATTGTTGATGATCCCGATAATCTCTTGGTCGGGTATTCTCTCAATGGACCCTTAATCAAGTCAACACCTCCACATAATTCAAAGTTAGATTACAATTTCCCATGCATCTTCAAATGAAAAGTTACACTGAAAATGAAAAGAGAAAAGCGAAAAAGGAAATTCAAGATCGAAAAGGAATTTGGAGTTTAAAATGAAATTTATGATTGTGTTGCAAGTTTTAAAAGTTGAAGGACTTAAATGAAAGAGCCTGAAAAGTTCAATGATCATATTACAAACATACTAACGACAGTGTAACGACATCAAACGGTCGGGGACCATATTACAAACATACTAAATGTTGGAAGACTGTATTGTAAGTTTTAAAAGTTGAGAGACCTAAATGAAAGCTTTAAAAATTTCAGTGACCATTACTATACTTTACCCTACAAATAAATATGGCAATACATATTCTAATTCTCAACACCCTGCTTAAAATCCAGACCAGAAAAAAGCATGCATTTTTTTTGATACAACCAATCCAGAGAGCAAGTATACATGAAAATTAGATTCTGAAGTAGCACTATAGAATTAATCTTCCAATGTCTTAAAGCAACCTATGATATAGTCTGTCATTCCTTCCCCTCCACATCAAGTAAATAAGAACCATATCATTATAGATTCCCTTATCAAAATTACCTAACGCATTTTGTAGCAAAACTTACAGATATATTCTTCATGTATTCAACGGAGTTCAATGACAAGAAAATTGGAATAAAAGTCAACTTCTAACCTTCATGGCTTCATCTGCTCCTGTCGATTGTCCCTCCCTCAATTTTCGGTATCCCTTGCTTTACACTTCGGGCATACAAGGAATACAGTCTGCCCCTCATCCGCTGATCTCATCTGTATAGAATGAGAGATAGAGAAAAATAATAAGTAAAATGATGAAGAATCAACTATGCATAAAAAAGAAACTATCAATTGAGATGTCGTTTTACTTGTCTAGTAGTGTACTCGAGCTCCGTGTTTCCACAGGATTTACATGTCTGCTTGATCAACTGCACATGAAAACAATACTAAAATGGTGAGCAAAAGATTTCAGGATTGCCTCTATTTTTAACTTCATAAAAGTTATTACCGCTGCCGATTCTTCTGTTTTCATCTCTTTCATAGCATGTGAGATGCCAAGGTCTCTCCAAATATCCTGCACAATGTAAAACATTTGGAGTAAAATGATGTAGCATCAAGAACATGAAGGGAGGTGAGAGGGAAGAGCTAGACTATGGCCATCAGAAAGAAAATGTAACATTCCTCATATGCGACACTCTCCAGCCAATGGAGACATCTAAATATATAAACAGAAAAAAAATATCCCAGTTCATTTGTAAACTTCCACTATATATGAGAAACAAAATGGACAAAGCCAATAGATTAGAAGACTGTTAATTTTACAACTCCCTTTCCATGGGGAATGATGATCATTTAGTAAACTTCCACTCTATACAAGAAACAAAATCGACATTACCAATCGATTAAAAGAATGTTAATTTACAACTCCCTCTCCATGGGACTGATGATCATATAATTTGTAGCTTGCCAACAAAATAGAAGTACCAAAGGTGAAGGCAAACCTCAACAGTGAGTGTGTAGCCTATTTCTTGGCCCACAATACCTGAAAGACAAGGGGGGGGGGGGAATTTCAGCAAAGCAGGGAATGAAGAGGATGAATAAAAACTAACGTAGGTTGTCAAGTGGGTACCTTTAGCACTTGTTTTGGTTTTGCAGAGAACGCATTCAGCAATCTTAGGTGAAACCAAAGACAGCATTGTACCACACAAGCTACAGAACATGAAGTCACGTGCTTGAGAATAGGCCATGAATCTCTCCTTCAAAAACCATTGAAATGGGAATTTTATAAGATCCAGAAGAAACTGAAATTAGTAAAAATTTGTAAATTATATACTACGAAGCTTCGGCTCTCCCTTACTATCGTAGGACTTTCGCCGGCGACCTTTCTTACCTCAAAATAGCAAAACGGCGGCGGCGCGGCGAGGAGTGGATGAAAGACAGCTAGGTTTTGTGAAAAGAAAAAAAAACGAAATAAAAGGAAGAAGAAAGAGGGAGCGGCCGCGGGGGGAGAAAGAAGGATTAGAATAGGATTTAAAGAATTATTGGTCTAATTTTAGGTTGATTCCTGAGTTTTATAGGGTTCTCGAATTTGTAGACAATTTTTACAACATTTTCAGCTTGACCAACAAAATTAATTTAGCAATTTAGAATTTTTTTACCAAATGTTAGGAATTTTAAGTAGGATTAAATTAGGGTGCTACATAAATTTTCTATGAATTACTAACTTTATTTATGATTTTTTTGCATCTATTTAAAATTTTAAAATATATTTTATATCATACCTTTATTATCTCCTTACCCTTGTAATTTTAAAAATTATTGTTTCTTGTCTTAGTCCTTGTCCCATATTCGTCCCCGTATCCGTATTACAACATAGCTATAGAAGAGATGAAAACAGAAGAATCGGCAGCGGTAATAACTTCTATGAAGTTAAAGATAGAGGCAATCCTGAAATCTTTTGTTCACCATTTTAGTATTGTTTTTATGTGTCGTTGATCAAGCAGACTTGTAAATCTTCTTTTTCATTTTTACATATTTTATCTATGGATGTAAGGATTTGCACTTGTTTCATGGAGGAAAGTACAAGCAAATTCTGAGGAAGAAGCTGTAGATCCTCCAAAAGTAGAGGAAAAGATCGATGTAGTGCCTAACGGCTTACAAATTCTGATGTAGTTAAAAGGTTGGTATTATTTGTTTTAGAATATACTTTCATCAATTCGTTTTTCTAACACCTCTAAATCGATACGGGTGGCCCAATCCAATTCGAGATGTCACATTAGGATCACCAGAGCGTCCACGATAAAAATCCATAATATAAAAATTTTGTTAAATCATTTCAAATCATAAAACAATTTATAAGTATATTATATTAGTTCAGAAAACATTCAAAAATTAAATTCAGAATCCAATCATGCGCAATTTTAAAACAAGTTACAGATTCTGATATACATACAAAATAATAACTACATGTCCCCTAATTACAATTGTATTGTACTTCGCAATCAACATCGAAAGAACTCCCACACTGATTGCCTGCACATGAATGATTCTTTAACCTAAAATGGTGAGTAATATAGTGAAATTTGGAAAGCTCAATAATACAAAACTACTAGATGAATGTTACGTGTTGTGAGTACTATAAAATTATACGCAATTAATGTGTAAGTATACACAATCGAACAAGTAATATAGTGATGCGTGAGTATCGTCTCCACAGGGATTGGAAGGATCTTGAGTAAAGTTTATGCACTACTCTAAAGTAATTAAGTATATCTAATAGTATTCACAAATTATTATGCCGAGGCAAATGAAATGTGTATATATGGTGGAAGGATAGTAAAGTGAATGAGTAACAAAAGGAAATGTCATGGCAAATGAAAATGAAAATGGTAAAGATAGAAAATAAATGAAATAGCTTGATAATCCTCACACGGGGAAACTACTTTAGGAATGCGTCATGGGAAATGATTTAAGGATGTTAAAACTTATCTCTCTATTAGATTTAATCTATCTAAGCTTACTTGCTCGAAGTGCTTCCGCTATCTCTAGTCAAAGGAACCTAATAGAATATAATGCCACGTCATCTCCTCTCAGTTTCAACTATGACAACCTATGTTATTGATAAAAACTTCCCCTCTTGGTCGTTGAAATCCTATTTTAGTCTCTCTCAAGTACTAAGGGATTAGGATATAGTACTTCTATGTCGGGTTTAAGCTTAAGTAAACTACTACACCCCATTACTTATGTGGATCTTACTTTTATTTCTCTCGAATACTCCAAGCATTAATGACTAAGTTTCTCTTGAACACCTAGCCCTCATCTAAGTAATGGACACTATCATGCCTCCTACAAACTTAGAAGATGAAGCTTTCATAAGAAAACAAGTAAATGCGAAAGATAAACTTTAATTTACTATTAAAACAAAATCAAGAATTCATAAAATCAACCCAAATAATAAGGTTAGTTCATGGTGGGGCTCGAATATTCTATGAAATAAAACATGAAAATCATTCATTCCAAACAACCCAACTAAAATAAATGAAAGAAAACAACAAATGATGGAGGAAAAACCCTTTGACGCGCGCTACCGGAGCTCTCCTTGGCCACCACAAACCGCCTTAGTTCACTAGCTCATCTCGTATGCCCATCTCGCCCCTCCCTTGAGCTTCACCAATGGAGGAACACCAGAAAAATGGAGGAAGAAAAACGGTGGAGAAGATGATGATTTTTCTAGCTTGGTAACCTCATATTTTTCTCTCTTGTGTGGTGTCATTTTATAATAAAAAATATCTAAGGGTATTCTTGGGAATTGTTTTTACTCAAAATACCCATCTTACCCCCAAAATCATTTCTTTGGCATGAAGCTTATCTCTACAGGTGGTAGTGGACACCTTCAGGCAATTACAAGCAGTAGACACGTGCTTTGACAGTTGTTCTTTTGTGAAAATATCTTTTTGTCCTTTTCTATGATAGAAATACAAAGGCATTTCAATCTTCAACAATGTGTGATGTCACAACATTTCTTCCCAGCTCGCCCTTTTTGCTTGTTATATTCTGCACATCACTAAAAGTCACACCTTCCTCCTCATATAACACCTTAATAAAATAAAATAACACAACCACCATAAATGCAATTATATGCAACTACATACGTCTAAAATAACCTATATGAACCATTAAACAAACAATAACTTAAGTGAAAAGAGACTTAAAAGTAGCCTTTTTATGAAGTTATCGCACCCCAAACTTAACCTACTGCTTGTCCTCAAGCAATGAATAACAATTAACACAATCAAAATGTCATGCTAATTTTCAACAATAGGACTGGAAGACAAAAATTGAATTTCAACCCTCAGAAAAATTGGCTTCAACATGCTAGACAAATCAAGAATTCAAGTAATTTTCCCTAGGTCAAGATTCTTTATGGTTATGTGTGTGTGATTGTATCTAATATATACTTAATGAATTTATGCAATTTCTAATTGAATTCCCTAGTTTTTCCACGGTATTTACTCATTCATTAAGTACATTTATACTCTATTTTCACTTAATACACATTTTATTTTATTTTTTTCTCTCTTTTTTTACGTTGCTACTGTAACATCCCAAAACAAGAGCAAGTGACTAAAATGTAAGGTTTGAAAATTTGAAGTCTGATTTTGAAAGATTTATTTTATTGTTCAGTAAATAACTAATGGAATTTCTGGGTTGTGTGCATCGATGCATCTTCAATGTGTATCGATGCACTCTCAAATAAATAAACATCGAATATAAGGAGTGCATCGATGCATAAGGAGTGCATCGATGCATAAGGAGTGCATCGATGCACTCCCTTAAAATGAAAACATCGAATGTAATTTGTGTACCGATGCATGGATAATGCATCGATGCACATGCTAAGGAATGCATCGATGCACTTCAAGGGGAAATAGAATTACACCTTTCTTTTGGTCTAAGAAATGATAGATTAGAATACATCAATTGGATACTGATATGTATCAATGTATGATTATGTAGATATCGAGCATGAACAAGTTCTGGGATGACTATCATGTTAAGATTCGATCGAAAGAAAGGAATCATAAAAGGGGATTGGAACTTAGTGAGGCCAAGGTGAGTGCATACAGATATTAAATATGACTCGATGGGAAATTAGACTTGAGATAAATATGTTTCCTACATGTTGAAATATTGATGCTGAGTAGAATAATGATTAATAAGATATTGTGTGATATGACTTATATGCATTAATATGAGTATATTTGTCATATATTTGTGTGTTATTGGTTATTGCATAGTTATGATACATGTGTATATATGTATGGTAAATGTGAATGAGTATAAAGATACATATGTATTTATAGGTATATGAGAAGATATAAAACAAGAAACAAGTCAAGTGATAAAGGAATATGAAATTGTATGAAACGTGACATAAGCTATGTGATTAAATGAGAAATGATATGAGCACATGTATATGTGATTATGAATGGCAGGAATATGAGAAAAGGTATACGTGACATGTGAATTATATGGAAGTGAACTACGTGACTATGTGATCATATGAAATGTGATAAGAAGCTATGTGCCCATGTGATAAGAATATGTGAAATGATATAAAGATAGTGCCCATGTTATGTGTTATGAGATCTAGAGATTTAGTTGGCATGCCAAGAGTCGAGGGATTATCAGTGGTCCTTCGAGACATAGTGGTCTTTCGGGACATAGTGGTCTTTCGGGACATAGTGGTCATTCGGGACACAGTGGTCCTTTGGGACATAGTGGTCCTACGGGACAAATTCTACACGCCCCTAGTGGGAATTTTACGAGTTGTGGTGACAGCATAGTGCACAACCTCTATGTACTCACGTATCTTTAGTTCTCATAAATATTCATGGGCTAAACAAAGATATAAAAATAAATATATTCCATGTAAAGAATACTTTGTGATATAATATTAATGAGTAAATGATGAGTGATTTGTATATGTGTACATTTAATTATACGTAATGTTATATTATCTGTGTTAGAGATCTAGAGATTAGTTGGCATGCCAGAGTCGAGGATTATCAGTGGTCCTTCGGACAGTGGTCTTTCGGACATAGTGGTCTTTCGGGACATAGTGGTCCTTCGGGACACAGTGGTCCTTTGGGACATAGTGGTCCTACGGGACAAATTCTACACGCCCCTAGTGGGAATTTTACGAGTTGTGGTGACAGCATAGTGCACAACCTCTATGTACTCACGTATCTTTAGTTCTCATAAATATTCATGGGCTAAACAAAGATATAACAATAAATATATTCCATGTAAAGAATATACTTTTGTGATATAAGATTAATGAAGTAAATGATGAGTGATTTGTATATGTGTACATTTAATTATACGTAATGTTTATTTTCTGTGATAATGTCCGTTCTTGTGGGTACTATAAAATGAGTGCGGATATATGTGCAAGTATACACAATCAAACAAG